GGAATTGAACCCACGACCCCTCAGTCCAAAGGCCGATGCTCTATCCACTGAGCCAAACCAGCTAGGGCTAGGACTTTAAATAAAACTTTCATTACATGCAAAGGAAGCGGTTCAATCTATACACTAAACTGTTGAATAGTTTCTGAATTGTCATGTAAAGTAAGGAAGCATCCAAGATAAAGCTGAAACACACCCTTCCCAATGGTGATCTGCCATCCCCAGTAAAAAATTGTCATAAAGCCAGCCCTGAGCAAAGCAAGGTCCTGGCAAAAGGCACCTTCTCCATTTCCTCCTTCAAATACCCACAGCAGGGCTGTACTGAGCATTCTGCACTGCAGTGCTTCCTTGCTCACTAAGTAGCTCCCATTTCTGTCTTTCTCTCTGTGTCTCTCTTTTCCTTTTGCCCCTCTGCATGACTGTTTTGTTTTAAGCTAGACTCAGGAGGATATTTGAAGAATCCTAAATTCTAGCTTTCCCGATGATGTATGTTGTCTATCACCCAAGTTTATCATGTGTCAGAAAGGCACTGCTTTGCCAGATATTCAGCAATCTATGTAAAATGAGGGTACTCAATCCAGTTCCTGACAACTGACATCCAGGTCACAGATCACCTGTACTGGGGACAGCTCTGGGCTCAGAGTATCCCCATGAGGCTTAGTGTGTGGCAAGACAAGCCAGAACAGAGAGACCCCAAACCTGTAACTAGAAAGAGGTCAGAAGCAAAAGTGGTGATGGAGAAGGGTCTCAAAACAAGCAACTGGTTTGGGGGATTCACAGGAGGCAAAAGGAAGATCTGGGAGGGGAAAAGCTGGGGCTTGGTCACAGGACATGGGAAGACCAATCACCTGTCATTGAAATGAGCCATATTACATCCTCTCAAGAATTTGTGGTGATTTGAATGAACAAATACACATACATACTTAAAATAATATATGGGATAAAAACTCTAATTTAGAAATAAGATTAGATATCTAGTTTCACGTTTACCCCCTTGCAAGTTGTGTGACCTTAGGCCAGGGGTGGGCAAACTTTTTGACTCGAGGGCCACAATGGGTTCTTAAACTGGACCGGAGGGCCAGAACAAAAGCATGGATGCAGTGTTTGTGTGATCTAATATAAATTCAAAGTAAACATCATTACATAAAAGGATACGGTCTTTTTTTTTTTTTAGTTTTATTCATTTCAAACAGGCCGGATCCGGCCCACGGGCCGTAGTTTGCCCACGGCTGCCTTAGGCAAATCACTCAGTGTATTTCGGCAGCTCTAAATGAAGACAATACCTGTCATACCTGTTGCACAAGATTGTAAGGACCTGATGAAAGGACACGTGTGGAAGCAGCTCATGAAGACCTGACTAAGTGCTCTAGAACTGTGACACAGACTGCTCCTCTGTTGTACCCCTAAGGGAAGCTCTTTCGCTATGGAGGGAGGTGGGGAAGCACCTGGGCTCAGAAACTATCAGAATCTATGCAGCTTTTAAAAGCCCCCTCCTGCCAGATTCTAATGTCCTGTTGCCTCACCCACGCCCACAAACACATTGAGAATCATGCCTCTAGTCTGACAGCATTTTCAATTATTCCACTGTCAACAAGATATTTGATCACTGTATTGTAAGTTGAAACTGGAGGCCTAGAGACCACACGGCCCACAGATGTATTCTCTTTGGCCTACAGTGTGGCCTACATAGCGCACCCCCCGCAAATTACATATATTCTCTTCATTTTTTGACACTTAAAATTCAGGAAATGTCCATAAAAATTTAGTTTTCTACCTTCTCTTAAAAAATTCAAAGATCTAGCAACACTGAGTTCAAATTACCACAAGGCAACAATCACTACAGGGAGCATCAGAATCACAGGGAGAGACTATTAAAACAGTCTGCAGAACCCTAGCCCCCCAGAGTTTCTGATTCAGTAAGTCTGGGATGGGCTGAAAATCTGCATTTTTAACAAGTTTTCAGGTGATTCTGATGCTGCTGGTCCATGCTCCTGTTAAATAGAGATGCACACTATCATTTGTCATACTCTCCCCCACCTCCACCTCCTACTGTCAGTGACACAGTCTCTCTTGTCCTTTATCTTAGTTACTATGTTGTTTTTCTTACACATGCAAAGCCATTAAATGTGCCTGGTATCCTAGACATCTGAGTTAACCACCTCTGCTACTTGAGGGGAAGAACTGTGCCTTCCTTCTTCACCCCCTTTTCCCTCTCCTCCACCTCCATCTCACTCCATCTCTCTTGTATATAAACACTCACCATCCCACACAGTATCTTATACTTAGCATCCAAATATGTTAGCTGACTTAAATCCCTGCATAAAGTCTGAACCCATCAAGGCCTGAGCTTGAAGGACAGCAAGACTTTTAAGCTAGGAGCTGCTGGTTTAATCCTTCTTCCCCTTGTCTCTTGGATCCAGATTAAGAGCAGGTCTATGCCGCCTTAAATATCAAGTGGGAGGCAAAGAAGAAGGCAGATCATTACACAGGGTCAGATATAAATTCTCCTGTGACCCCTTCTTCTATTTAGCTTCTCAGCCCCAGTACTTACCATCTAGGAATACTAACAAATGAGCAATCAACAAACTACCTTCACTAACTGGTTTTGTGATCACCAGTTTGAGGGCAGGGCACAGGCCTGGTTAATTCTAGGTCCCTTCTAACTTGCTTTTCAATGAGCCCATTAATGAAGGCTTGGAACAAATTCTGTACACATTTTGAAATCCACCCAAATGCAGGCCAGACTCTTTTCTCTAGTGTCCACCCCCACCCACGCATGCTCTGTCTTAGAGCCTTGGAGCTGAGCCATGGTTTGTGTAAAATAAACTCAAATTTAATTTCCACTGAGAGTTTAAGTGTTTCTCTTCTCAATAATGAAACATGGGCAGCTCATTCCAGAGACTCTGTAAAGGATTCTAGTCTTTAAAGCCAAAAAAGTTTATCCTTCTTTGATGGACTGACAGCAAATCAAAAGAGTTTGTTTTGCCAAAAGGAGTACCAAGGTAATTTGTGAAGGCCTGACTTCATCAAATTACATATTCTTGAAAGGTGACCAAAAAGGAAAAAACTTCTAAATTAACTGTTAAGAGACCAACCTGCACTGTCAAAAAGTGGCCTCAGAGCAGTATGACTATCACTTCAGTTTTATGGAAAAGGGCCCTGAGGTTTACAACAACCTCATCTGGATTATACAGCTTCAAAGACAGAGTCAAATCCACTTTCAAACCCACAAACCTCCCCATTACCAATTTATCTTCACCATCCACAGTTCTTGTACCAAGTGCATATCTTCCCTCTAAACTGCCTTTAAAAAATCGTAAGCACCCAGAGGCTGAAGATGACCCAAAACTCAAAACATAAAATAGAAACCCTCATGGTGATTGCTTCTTAAAACTAGGAGAGAAAAACTGAAAATTAGCACATAGCGAATAAAGCAAAGACATGCAAACCCCTTCTATAAGTGACAAATGACACCAAGGCCAAAATGGCTTTGCTTGAATGTAATAGCAAATCCCAAGAGAAAGCAATCCTTAGGAGAGTGGGAAGAAGCAGCAAACGTAAAAGAGCTTTAGGCGCCCTGACTGGTTTGGCTCAGTGGATAGAGCGTGGGCCTGCGGACTGAAAGGTCCCAGGTTCAATTCCAGTCAAAGGCATGTACCTTGGTTGTGGGCACATCCCCAGTTAGGTGTGTGCAGGAGGCGCTGATCGATGTTTCTCTCATTGATGTTTCTAACTCTCTATCCCTCTCCCTTAATCTCTGTAAAAACTCAATAAAATATGTTTTTTTTTTAAAAAGAGCTTTAGGCAAAAGTTATCAAAGCCCATCAAGCACTCTCCAAGGGGAGTGGTGGCTAGCTGTCCAATCCTTAATGAAGAGAGCTGCCTATCAATTTCAGGAAGCCCAAAAGCCATGAAGGGAAAGACCAACAGATTACCACATAAAAATTAAGCATTTCTATAAAGAAAAGGATGCCTTTAAAAAAGCAAAAGGTGAATGAATACACATGTCAGAAAAAGGGTTAACATTACTACTTCTATAAACATCCCTCCCCCAAAATGATCAAATGCGAGGCTGCGATGGCCCCTGCGAGGCTGCGACAGCCTCTGTGAGGCTGCGTGAGGCTGCGACGGCCCCTGCGAGGCTGTGACGCCTCCTGCAAGGCTGCGTGAGGCTGAGATGGCCCCTGCGAGGCTGCAATGCCCCCTGCGAGGATGTGTGAGGCTGCGACAGCCCCTGTGAGGCTGCAACGGCCCCTGGGAAGCCAGTGGAGCTGCGCCAGCCGCCCAGACGGCTTTGTCGACAGCCTGCAAACCAGCTCACAGCCCCACGCACAACTATCACCCGAAGGGCGAGAGGGGCGAGAGCAGCTGTAGTGTTGCTTTCTCCTCAGTTTTGGTAGCGAAATCCTCATTTTAAACATAAGAGGATACATTATTTTAAAAAGCCTTTACGTGGCTCCACACCACAGTGGGGGGGTAAGGGCAGAGGGTGGGGTGGGAACTGGGTGGAGGGGAGCTATGGGGGGGGGAACAACTGTAATAATCTGAACAATAAGGATTTATTTTTAAAAAAAATAATAATGTTACATACACCTTGGAACATAATCTGGCCATGTATAATAAAATAAGCATGCCCTCTGATCTTCAACCCCACTTGCGAGAATTTCATATTGAGGCATTTTAAGTAGTGGGAAAAACAAAAAATAATAATAAAAAAAAACTCAACATTTATCGATACAATGATTGTATAAATTCTAGATAACCAAATAAATATGGTGCAGTTATTTAAAAAAACAAAAATAACATTATTTGGGAGATATTAAAAGGCAGTGAGTGGCTAGCACTGTAGACTTGAGAGCCACACTGCCCAAGTTCAAACTGCTGCTTCACAGTCATTAGCTGTGTGACCCTTGGAAAGTTTATCACATCTCAGTTCCTTGTCCACCCAATGGGACTAAGAGTACCTACCTCATATGGTAGCTGTGGAGTAAATGAGATAAAGCATGGTGCCTGACATCTACCAGGTACTGGAATGATGTCCATGATATTGTTTTTTGGGAGTGGTGGTAAGAATGGGGAGAACTGTACACATTGTGCAGCACAGATCTATTTTAGTTAAAAGTATATATATATTTTAAAGCACACTGTGTATGTATGTGTGTGGTGATGAGTGGAAAGGAGGAAGTTTTAACTTTTTCTTTGTACATCTCTGTGTTCTTAGGCTTACTGCAAAGAACATGTATTACTTTTGTAAGAATAATCCAATAATTTTTTTGGAAGTGGGGTGGGTGAGGGTACTAGGGGGATACAAAATATATTTTTAAAATGTCTGTGAGGAAGTAGAATGAAAATTCAAAGAGAAAAAAGAATAATATAAAATTTCTGTAAAAATGGATGATGGTAAGTTTTCATTTCTCTGGGATTTAATTTCATGAAATGCATTTTTAAGTGGCATAACCCTTTTTATTTTAAAATATTCATATTTATATTACAACAGAAGTTATATCTTTTGCAACTAAACTTAGGACAAAAAAATTTCACATGCCGACTTAGAAATTATTTTAGAAAGGTATGTCAGCAAAAATGTATAAAGACCATTATCTTAACCCTTTCAGCTTACCCACTGAGATATGGTTATCCCCTATGGGTAAGAAGTCAGCAGCCAATTGGGGTAGTCCTGCTCCCATCTTCATAAGGAATACTTCTCTAATACTGATTTCATCTTTTGAGGGATCTCCTGGGGGCCCCTGATAAAATAGGTTTTGTTCCCAGAATGCCCTGAATGGGTCAGAATAGTACACCAATTAACTCAGCTCTAATGCTATTTGAAACCCAAGGCAATATATAATTCACAACCTGTCCTATTGCCATCTCAAATTATGTCCCACTACCGTATTCAATATAATCAGAAGTTCTAAAAGAAGATCAAATGATAACATAAAAATACTCTAAAAATTAAGAGCCAAAAAGATTGCCTCAATTTGATTATGAATCCCTCCCAACATGAATTAGCCAGAGAGAAATGAAAAGTTCAGAGATTAAATTATCTTGTTCTAAATTAGAGCCCAAAGTAATCAGTACCAACTTTTGTGTTAAAGTCCACAATTATTAATGTCCAACATTGAACTCTCTTGCTCTTGTGAATTAAAGTTCAAATAAGAGGTTTTGTCACTCCCTGGCAGTGAACTTAGCTCCTAAACTGAAGCTTCCCTTCCCCCAGAGGATCTATCTTTTAAGCTTATTCCAGGCCTCCCTTGGCATGGGCAGGCCCCTGTGAAACTTGTGGTATGAAGCAGCAGAGCCAAAAGCATGCTTTCTGTGTGTGGTGCTGGCTCCCATGAGAAAGGGTATAAGAAGAAAGTGGATTGCACGTGCCAAACTTACACATCAGGAAACTTGCTAGTAGCACTGGAATAAAGTATCAGTGTTATGTGAGTGGCACCTCCTCCATGCTTCAAGAAACATATGATGTGGGAAAGAAGTGTTTTCCCCTAAAATTGGGAAATATAACAGAATTACAAGAAACAGTCTCTCTTATTTGAGAAATATTTATTGAGCTCAAATTTCTGAATTAGATTTGCTGGGAGATTCCTAAGTGAATCAGAGCTGGATGCTGCCTAACCACCAACCACTAACATTTATAACATATCCATATATGTGAATGTGACATATTTTATTTTTTTTGTTATAGCAGTGCTTTACTTCTGGTACCACTTGTGTATTAGTATAGATTAGGCTTTGTTTCTACCAAACACCTCAGTGACTTAGAATAGCAAAGATGTATTTCTCATTCATACTGCCATATATGTTAGCCAAGGGCTCTTTTCTACTTTGTCCTGACTCTACGACCCTATCTGATGGGAACAGCCGCTATTTGAGACATTGCTGTTACTGTAGATTAAACATGGCCACAAATTCTGTCATTTTTCTCCCCAATTCTCATCAAGAGGTGGTGTTTATATCCCCTTCTCCTGAAACTGAGCTGGCCCTGTGACTGCTTTAACCAACAGAATGTGTTATTTCCCTGCCCAAGACCTACAAACAACCTGGAAGCTTTTGCTCTTGCATTTTTGAGGGTCCTTAGCCACCATGTAAGAAACCAGGCTGCTCTGCTGGAGAAGCCAATGTGAAGTGAGGCCCTGGAATAACACTGGGAAGGAGAAAGACTTGGCCATTCTAGCATCCCAGTTCTCCAGCCCCGACAATACCTGGCTGGAACCACATGAGAGACCCCAAGCAAAATTAGGCAACTGTCCATGAACCCATTCAACTTGGGTTTTTTAAACCATCTGAGATAATAAAATAGTTACTGGTGGGGTTTTTAATTATTATTAATCCTCACTGAGGATATTTTCCCCATTGATTTTCAGAGTGGAAGAAAGGGAGAGAAATATAGAGAAAGAAACATCGATGTGAGAGAGACACATCAATTGGTTGCCTGCCCCAACCTGGGCCAGGGATCGAGCCTATAATGGAGTACTATATGCCCACAACCAGAATCAAACCTGAAACTCTTCAGTCTGAGCCAAACCAGCTAGGGCAAATAGTTATTATTTTAAGTTATTAAATTTGGGGTGGTTTGTTATACAGCAATAGATAACTAAAACATTACATCACTGTGTCAAAGGAAAGAGACCTTCTGAGAAATTGTACATGGGTTCTTAAAGCTTTTGCTTGGAAATGTCAAAGATCACTTCTACTTCATAGGCCATGCCTAGTTCAAAGGAGTAGGAAAGTGCAAATCCAGGGAGGCATGCACATAAGGAGGAAAAGGAGAGTGGAAGAGTCAGAAAAGAAATGAGGCAAAAGGAGAAATTTTAAGACCAAAAGGAGAGTTTCAAGAACAGAATAGTCAAGAAAAGCATAAAATAAAAGGCCAAAATTGGTATGGGCAAGGTGTTCATAGAAATGCAAAGAAAGAGATCAGTGTGGGCTCAGACATGGGACAGAGGTAGTATTAGAGAAGGAACTGGAAGGTAGCAGAATTTGGATGGTTGGAGAGAGAAGGGTACTTTCAATGAGGAAATAGCATGAGTAAATTCTTGAATGGGGAATGAACTTAGCAATGGGGAGGGGGTATAAGATTAGGTATTGTAAAGGGGAATATATCACTGAAATAAAGGGTGTGTCAGGTGTAACAAAAAAAGTGGATTAGGTTTGCTGTGGAAGGGGAGGGCAGAGAAACGGTTTGTGGTTTAATGGAGGCCCGTGAGTGCCAGCTGAGAGTTCTGAGTTCTTTCCTTTAAATAGTTGAGCATCACTGGAGATAGGTGCCAGAGTAAAGGAAACCAACATACAAGACTAGTTCTTTCATGTGGGAATGAAGGAGGGGAAGACGGAGTAAGCCACTGGTTGGACAATTACTGCAGCATTCAACGCAGGAATATCCTATTGGGAGAGATCATTACCTAGAAGAGAAAAAGTTAAAAGTCTCTCCCAGGCTAGATCAGGAGGCTTAGAATGAGAATAAGTTAGTCAGAGGACTAAAAAAATAAGAGGAAGGGCTTCAAGTGTGGAGAAGCTGAGATAATTATCAAGGGTATAAAAGAAAACATCTAATTTTTTTTTTTTAAATCCTCACCTGAGAATATATTTCCCATTGATTTTCTGAGAGGGAAGGA